AAGACAGCTGCACTCATTTGATCTTGTAAACAGGCCATATGAATTTCTGCAATGAGCTCTGACTGATGAATACACAGGGAGTATTGCAGCTTTGATTTTTAAAAAATTGCATGGGGGAGGAGAAGGAGGTTATGGGGAGATTGGAGTAGCAAATTGATGGCACCTAATTGGGTTAAAGAGGACTCCTAATAGAGACTGTTGGGAGAGAGAAAGCAAGGCTGGTGGGGAGAGCTGTCAGGTGTTCGGTGAGACGAAGCTCATTGTTCCCCTAATTTACTCTGCTCTCTTCCCAAATGTGCTTTTGGAGCCCAGTCAGCAAAGCCAGATTTGAAAATGAGAAAGCCTCCTTAAACACCCCTTGAGAGCATCCCCCTCTTCTGAAAAACAAGCTTCCCAGACTCCTCACATTTTAGTGAGATGGCCTGTAGCTCAATGACATGGGATGGATTAATCTTCTCAAGTACATAGTGGTTTAAGTTGGAGATTGATTTAGACCAATGGCTTAATAATCTGTGCCTGTTTTTATAATGTTAGTGATTTTAGTCTTGAAACAAACACTCCTTTCTGAAAAAGCCCACTAAACTTTCACTTTACATTTCATTAATCCCGACTGAAGTAATCAGGTAGAAGAGAACAGAATGGTAAATGTCCCTGAGGGTGGGAATTTTGTATTTGGACTTTTGAGGGAAAACGGTGAGCAATGTGGCTACTTTTTGGTTCCAATGAGAAAGACATGCATACATATTAATGATGCTAATTTTAAAAGCCAGTCATAAATATGGGTAGCAAATTAAATTTCAAGAGTGTTTTGAATGGTGAAGCAGGCATTAACTGAGAAAGGGATAAAAGAAAGAAGGAAGCAAAATTTTACTCCATCTCAAAACTATTTTCAGGCCAAGGATAAAATTTTCATGGTGTGGAACTGTGGTGCTTTTGATTTCCTGGCACAAGATGGACTGAGGACTGATATGCTGGGCCTTTACTCCTCCAGGAGCCTGCCTGCTCACTATTAAGGCTGAGCTTTCCCTGGGCTGAAAACTGCTTGTACATTGGCCATTTAACTTGCCAGCATTCTGCTCTCCTGTGTGGAAAATGTGGATCTTCAGCCACATAATGTCTTTCCATTAGCGATGGCGGCTCTCCAAAGTAGGGCTGTGGTTTAAACACAAATGGGCAGAGTGGGCCAAAATGAATGCAATTTTGAGTCTACTATCTTTAAAAGGTGGATCTGGAGGCAATTTAGTGAGTGTAAATTACAATTGACTTTGGAAGAAATAACTCATACACTTGAACCTCCTTAGATGTGTAGCCAATAGGGGGTAGCCAGGCTAACATGAAATTTTACACATCCATCAGCTAAAGAAAAGATCCAAATGTAAAAATCTAGCTATCATATGGATTCGTAACACCCCCTGGAGGACTTGCAGCCCACAAATCAATGAATGGTTTATGCTGAGCCAAAAATGTACTTGCTCCGTGTTTCTCATTTTTCTTAACCATTTTAGAATGAGCCCGACAATCACTCCTGCAGAAGGTACTCATCAGCAGCGAGGGGGCCACTTAAGGCAGCCAGGTCATGTTTTTTGGCCACCATCTTAGCCCTTGCAGTGAATGGCTTTGTTCCCTTTAAAACTTAAGCCAAGAAGACATTTTCCACCATGCAGGTGTTTTGATGTGAGGTACTTAAAAAGGTATCAAACCTTGCTACTTACTGCCACCAATTCCCTATGCTATTGTGCTTCTCCTCGGTAGCAGATTCACAGCCTGTTCTTGGCCATTATCTGACGTGTGTGTGTGTGTGTGTGTGTGTGTGTGTGTGTGTGTGTGCGCACCTGTGTGACCTGCTCTTTATTTTTGCCCGATGTCACCAGCTAGAAGAGCTTCTGCATTCACAGGCTTGAGTTCTCTGGGTGGTTCTCTGTTTAAGGCTGTAGAAGTAACATGTAGCTATTGCTAGTATCTGGGGAAAAAGGAAATTTTTACATGTGCTTAAAATTGTGAAGTACTACTAACTAAATAATAAACAGTAAGAACTGTTTACTCCTTAACTAAATAAATAAGCGCACCTCCTCTTTTTGAACTGTGAGACTGTCAGGGACAAATATTACAATTCTTTGAAAAAGATGTCGGATATTTGAGATTCTTGAATGTTGTCTTTTGCAATTTAGTATATTTCTTTTTTTTAATTTGATTTTTATTTTATGTTCATTGGTGTCTTGCCTGCATGTATGTCTGTGAGGGTGTCAGAAATCCTGGAACTAGAGCTGCCATGAGGAGGCTGAGAATCGAACCTGGGTCCTCTGGAAGAGCAGCTACTGAGCCATCTCTCTAGCTCCTTCAAGTCAGCACATTTCAAAACTAGCATTTTCCATCATACTGTCCATAAATATTCAAATTAAAAATATATTTAAAAGCCTCCTAGAAATTCTCTATGAACAATTCCAAGAAAGTAGATGTAGCAGAAAATGTTTTCTATTTGCAAAAAATTGTGACTAGAATTATGAGTTTGTACTTCATTGATGTTTTTATTAGAAAAACAACTAAATATACATATACATACAAGGTTTTCTTCATTTTTTTCTCCTCCTCTTCCTCTTTTTTCCTTCTGTATCTACTCCTCCTCTTCTTTTGATACTTAACATTCCAATTAGGAACAATCCAGAATTCTGAATACAAAAATGACCCGCATAGGTGGGGCTTCCCCTTTCTGTCATGAAAATCAATTCCTGCTGCTGGCATTTTAAGGTTAGCACAGTGTCTCCGTCCATAGTCACCGATGACCCAAGACCACGTTTTGGTTTTAGCCTTGCTCTCTTTAGAGTGTATAAGAGTCTCTGCATCAGCTGAAGAAGGCTGCGGAAAATTTTCAGGCAAAGTTTTCTTTTTTAACTTAGTTAATTTTACAAACTTGCTGTGTACCCTAGCCAATCCTCCTGCTTCCACCTCTGCACTGGCATCATCGTAGAAGTGTATCCCAATGCCCAGGCTGAGTTAGCATGTCAAAAGTATTTATTCAGAAGCCCCACTTCCTAGCTCCCATTTGATTTGACTAATAACAGCTACATCACAGAACTGTTTTCAAAGAGGGTTGGGAAAAAGTAGACTTTTTTTAGTGAGGTACACTAAAGGCTCCAATACTATAAGAGTTCTGTTAGTGATGCAAAAGGAAACTGAGAATCAAATAGGCACACAGTGTAATCTGTTACATCTGTGGCTTGCAGGGCTCAACAGACAGTTCCTGTGACAATGTACTACTCAAATATGGACGCTTTTAAAGTCACTTAAACTTTACATTTCTTATCAGTAAAGAACTGGATATGGAGAAGAGAAATAACAATTAAAAGTGGGGTACAGATTTAAACAGAAAATTCTCAAAAGAAGAAATTCAAATGACCAAAAAAACACTTAAATGGTCACTATCTTTAGCCACCAGGGAAATACAAGTCAAAACTACTTTGAAATATCACCTTACATGCATCAGAATGGTCAAGATCAATAAAACAAGTGACAGTTTGTGCTGATGAGGATGTGGAGCCAAGGGGAAGGATGGTGGAGGTGTAAACTTGTACAGCCACTACTGAAATCAGTATGTCAGTTCCTCAGGAAGATGGAAATTGATCTACCTCAAAATCCAGCTATACTATTCTTGGGCATATTCCCAAAGGACACTTCACCCTATCACAGAGACACTTGCTCAACCATGTTCACTGCTGCTCTATTCGTAATAGCCAGAAACTGGAAACTACCTAAAAATCCCTCAGCGGATGACTGGATAAAGAATACAAAATGGAGTATTGCTAAGCCATTAAAAAAATGAAATCTTCATGTAAATGAATGGAACTAGAGAAAATCCTGAGTGAGGTATCAGACCCAGAAAGACAAACATGGTGTATATTCATTTATATGTGGATATTAGCTGTTAAGTCAATAATAATCAAGCTACAATTCATAGAACCACATAGGTATAGAGTAAGGGACTAGGGAAAACGGATACATCTCCCTAGAAAAAGGAAATAAAATAGAAATTATTTAGGTTGCAACCTAGAACAGGTATGTGCCTTGCTCAGAAAAAAACTCATCCTGTGGCAGATGGGAACACATACAGAAACCCACAGCCAGATGTTATGCAGTGAGTGAGAGACTTTGGAATGCTCAATCCTACATGGGGTGTCTTCATCAAATTCTTTCCCCCACGGCTCAGGGAAGCCAGCAGAACAGGAGATAAAAAGGTGTAAGAGCCAGAGAGGGAGTAGAAATGGAGGAAAAGAGATCCTCTAAGTCAACAAGATTGAAGAACATGTGATCTCATGGAGACAAGGCAGTATGAACAGGGCTTGCATGGGTCTGCACCAGGTCATTTGCATATATATTATGGCTTCCGTTTTTGTTTTTATGGGATTGTGGTGTGTGGGGAAGAGTGGGTCTTTGGTTCTTGAGCCTTCTCTTGGACTCTTTTCATCTTGTTTTTTTTTTTTGGTTTGGTCCAATTCTAACAAGTTAGTTTTTGGTTTATCTTATTTTATTGTTACCCTGTAGAAACCTGTTTGAATTCTAATGAGAGACAGAAAAGGAGTAGATCCAGAGGAGAGGGATGTGGAGAGAAACTGAAAGGAAAAACCATAATCTGGACATTTTATGTGAGAAAAAAAATTCACTCAAGGCCTCCTCAGAAACATGAATAGTTCGAGGATATTCTGGGCTATGTGAGAACATGTCTCAGAAAATCAAATGCTGTAGGGTTTGGACATACCCACTATGCAGCTCCAGTGTTTGCTGGTTTGTGCAAACTTCACTGCCGTACTAGAAACAAAAGTGACAGTGGGTTACAGTAGCAGGTTTCACCAAACCCAAAGCAAAAAAATCTTCTAACTGAACTGCCTCTTACTGCAAACTAAGCATGCCTAACACCTATTTAGTGCCAACCACACAAACCAATTGATGGAAGGAGAGTCAGGAGAGAAAATGACAGCAATATTACTGATTTCAGTTACAACAGCCTATTGCTTTGACAGCACATATAATAAAATTGGAACAATGCAGAGAAAATCACCATTATCCCCATGCAAGAATGGCACAGAAATTTATGAAGTGTTTCACATTTAAAATAAACAATGAACCACATAAGTTTGCAAACTTTACAAACGCATTTGGGTTTGTACAAGAGAATAGGCTCATGAGATTTCTACTTTGTTAGTTTCACAGAAAATTCAGGTCTGTGATCACTATTTTCAAATTTATTACTTCCTGGAAACCTGATTTTTCTTTCCATGTTTATGCATCTTCATATCATTTGGTATATTATAATTTTTTACCTCTTTATTGTTTGATGTTTTCTTCACCCTTCCTAAAAGATGACATAGATAAAGGAAGCCATAGTTTTGGCTTTCCATGTCACTTTCAAAGATGATTCTGGACTTGGGAACACATATGAAGGTCTGGGGACCGTTAGGCAGGGTGGGGGCAACAGAAGAGACACAGCAGTAAAGTATCTGAGTCCATCTGCTAGTTCTACTTGACCCTACAGCCATTAAAGAGGTGATGAGTGATGGCCATTTACGTGGATACTGGTCCAGAGCTACAGTCTTTGACTAAATGTGCAGTATATAGGAATTTTCTGTAGAGAAAGAACTCACTTTGTTATCTCATGGGTTCAGAACCCAGTTATTTTGACTGCAGCTCTCAATGACAGGATGAGCCACATCTGGCAGCATCCTTACTGGGAGCAAAGATTTTCAAAACTTTCACATCACATATTCTCTTCCAGATTGGTACTAGCTTCCTTGCACCTTCGCATGCTAGGATATGAACCCTATGGTGCTACATGATGTTTCCGTTGATCACCACACAGATTCTCAAATAGAGGTGGATCACTTTCGTTCTAGGAAACTAACCAGCTAGAGAGAACTGGTCTCCAGATAGGTGACTGTCAGTATTTTATAGCTGTCCTAGATGACATATCATTGAACATCTACTTGAGAGGAGGGGCATACAGAACTCGGGGAAACCAAACAAGTGGCTCAGCAGTAGGCAGAGATGACCAGGTTTGGATTAAAAAAGATAAGCAGCCAATGCAGGCAGCCATCATCTCTGCAGAGAACAACTTCAAAGCAGTGGAGCTGACAGCCAATCACTAGGTAGTGTGAGGCTACCCAACTGAGGTGAAAACTGCACGCCACAGAGCACTGCATGGCAGCTCTCATGCTCCCATAGAATCACCTTCCTAATGGAGGGACAGTCTGTGTCCTTCTAGCTGTCCCAGTGAGGCCTTCCCTACCGTACCTCCTGATGCAAACTGGGCCATAGTCCTTATGGTTCTGATCACTTCTCTCCCAACCCTAGAACTGTGACTTTGTATAATTGACTTAAAAGTAAAAATAAAAGTAAAATTACTTAAGATCTGTTAAAAGCATTTCTGAGAAATGTATCCTATGTTCTCAGGGGAAAAATATATTTTTTTTCAAATTAATAGTTCAGGTCTCTTTTGTCCTAGCTTTCCTACCCAACATTTTTCTGCTAAGCTTTCATAGGCATCCTGTAAAGCCTAAACAAAATCTGTCACTTTATACTGATGCCAATGTCTCTTAGGAATGAGACTTCTGATATCAACCATTCACTTTGATTCTATACAATATAGAATTATTAAATAAAAAGTTGAAAGATACTTGAGATTGTTTTTTTTTTCTCCATTTTTTTCTTCAAGTGAACACATTGTCATGGAAGCATAGTACCAGTCCAAACCAGAACCCAAAGTCAATTATTGTGATTTTTAATAATATTTTCTTGTAGCTAAAGTGCAAGGATAGCTTAAGAGAAAACAGTGAGAAGAAAGTGGACTAAACTGCATTTACTGTGCATGCAGACCTTCGTAAACTAGAGCATGTCTAAGGAATCTGCATTTTGTATATTGCAGCCATCATTCTTGTGCTATTGTGTCCATGTGCCTACTGACATTGCAGATTTTTCAAAAGCAGTTTGATCCTTCTTCAAGTGTTCTAGTAAGAAGACTCAAGAGAGTTCCTTTCCTAGAGATTGGCCCCAGTATCTATTTTAAGAATATTTCTCCCTAGACATGGATGTTAGTGTTCCAAAGGTTAGGGGAATATAGGATGTATGTCACCAGGAAGTCAAAGTGGGTTAAATCAAAATAATAATAATAATAATAATAATAACAGGTCTCACAGCAACCTGCTTACAATCTACCTTCAATCTGTATGTAGGAGAATTCATTCATTTATTTTTAACTTCTTAATTATTCATCCTTAAAAGCTGTTCTAAATAAACATTGCCTTTCTCCCTGATGCCAACAAATGAATGTACTGACAATTACTCATGAGCTTCCCTCATATGTCCCATGTTCTTTCTAGGATCCCCTTTTAAAGTTTTTACAAGGTACATTGTCTGCTACAAGGAAACAGTTTGGGTAGTAGAGCAAATTTGGCTGGTTCCTCAGCTCACAGGGATTTCTTTGCATACTTATCTGGCTCCCAAGCTTTAAGACTCTCTCTTTTCTTTCCTCTGTTTTTCTCAGATATATATGTTGTTTAAAATTTCCCATAAGCATTCTCTCTTTAAAATAAATATTTTATTACATTTTGAGAATGTCATAAAACGTATTTTGATCACACTCACTCCAACTTCTCTCATATCCATTCATTTCTAATTCCTACCTCCATACAGTTCATATCTGGTTTTTTTTAAATTTAATAATCCTTCCACTCCAATTTGTGCTGAGTATGTGCTTCAGGAGTGAGGCCATCCACTGGAGTAGAGTTCATCTACTAGGAGCCATATCCTTAAAAAAAACTGACTGTCTCCTGTGTGATTGGGTCATTTGAGCCAAAGCAAAAGTTCTTTCCTGAAGCGTTGCAAGTTAGAAGTGAGAGAAGAAAGCTTTTTCCTTTTGTTCCATTGACCTTTGAGCACATAAGTCACAAAGTCACACGGTGACTTCAGGGTATCTCTCAACGTGTGCACTGTGGGATGGGGATGGGGGTGCATTAAGATGAGCAGGAACGATGCTGAGGAACTGAGAAGTGGAATTCTTGTGATCTATGCTAGTTTAGACTTCCCTTCCTTGGGATTGTTGGCTTTTTTTTTTTTTTTTTTTTTTTTTGTAACTCTGTTAGAGCTTGACTGTGATTTAAAGAGTATAGTTCATTTCTAAAAGCAAAATGAGGTTGTATGTTACATATGAGAGCTTGGGACTTAGTTCTCATTATAATTTGATTTCTAGTTCTTGCCTTCCAAAGCAGAAGCCAATATCTGTATCTGGGGTTTTCTACTAGGGAATCAAAAGAGTAGAGAAGACTGAACAAAAAGCATCCAAAGTTAGAAGAGTCAAGTTGTTTCATAAGGAGATTCTGAAAAGGAAAGGAAAGAAAAGGAAAGAAAAGAAAAGAAAAGAAAAGAAAAGAAAGGAAAAGAAAGGAAAAGAAACAGGAGAAAGTTGAGGCCATGAGTAACTTCTAGACAGCATTTGCCCTGGGGCAGATGAACACAGTGGCTGTCACCTTTGTGGAAAAATTGAGAGCTTCTTGCTCTAACAATAGAGCCCCATCACAACCTGGCTCTTTGTGAGAGCCTGAAGGCTAGGGGCTGTGTCTTCAATCTTCACTGACTGTACAATGCACAACTATGCAAGACATTCTAATGAGGGCAGTACATGAGAGAAGCAAAGATGTTTTAAGAGATACAGAATCCAAAATGTGTCTTCTTAATAGATTTTTAAAAACAGACCCAAGAATTTAAATAAGTTGTGGAATAATTAAAATACAAACTGTAAAACAATAACACAACAGTCATGGTGTACGGCTTATTAATATGGTATATTCTTCAGACACAGTATAGACCAACTCTTAATAATTGAGAGATCCACTTGAAATCCATCCTGCTCTCATCTTTCTCCTTTCCTCACCAAAGTACACTTCACTCTGTTGCTTGCTGTGGTAATTTGAATGAGAATGGCCCACAAACGCTCATATATTTAATGTTTGGTTTCCAGTGGGTGGATTATTTTAGGAAGGATTAGGAAATATGTCCTTGTTGGGGGAAGTGTGTCACTGTGGCTGGACTTTGGGGTTTCAAATCCACATGTCTCTCTGTCTCTCTCTCCCCTCCCACTCTCTTTGTCTCCCTGTCTCTTCTTTCTCTTTCTACCTTTACCCTATCTCTACCTCTGCCTCCTCTTGTGGATAAGGTGTAAGCTCTCATCTACTGCTTCAGTGCTATGTCTACCTGCCTGCTACCATGGTTCCTTCTATGATGGTCCTGGACTCACTCTCAGAAACTGTAAACAAGCTCCCAAATTATGCATTCTTGTTTTTCTTTTCTTTTTAAAATTTGTTATTTATTAAAATTTATTCACTTTGTATCCCAGCTATAGCCCCCTCCCTTAGCCCCTCCCAGTCCCCCTTCCCCCCTCTTCTCCTTCCCTGTCCCTTCCCCAGTCCACAGATAGGGGAGGTCCTCCTCCCCTTCCATCTGACCTTAGCCTATCAGGACTGGCTGCATTGTCTTCCTCTGTGGCCTAGTAAAGCTGCCCTCACCCCAGGGTGAGGTGATCAAAGAGCCAGACACTGAGTTCATGTCAGAGACAGCCCTTGTTTCAATTACTAGGGAACCCACTTGGACACTGAGCTGCCATGGGCTACATCTGTGCAGGGGTTCTAGGTTATCTCCATGAATGGGCCTTGGTTGGAGTATTAGTCTCAGAAAACACCCCTAGGCCCAGATATTTTGGTTTTGTTGCTCTCCTTATGGAACTCCAGTCCCTGACAGGTCTTTCTATCTTCCCTTCTTTCATAAGATTCCCTGCACTCTGCCCAAAGTTTGGCTTTGAGTTCCAGCATCTGCTTTAATACTCTGCTGTGTAGAGTCTTTCAGAGGCCCTCTGTTGGTAGGCTCCTGTCTTATCCCTTGTTTTCACCCTTTTCCAGTGTCTATCCCATTTCCCTTTTTAAATGAGGATTGAGCATCTTACCCATGGCCCTCCTTCTTGCTTAGCTTCTTTAGGTGTACAGATTTTAGTATAATTATCCTATATTATATGTCTAATATCCACTTATAGGTGAGTATATACCATGTGTGTCTTTCTGCTTCTGGGA